TCTTAGTTGCCTCACCTGTCAAACACCTACCATGTTGTGAGGATTAAATGGGATAACGTGAAGCATTAAACAGTAAGGAATTAACCAAAAGGTAGTTGCTATTCTTCTAATTGTTATTATATGTCATCCCGTAGTGGCCAATAGATTTGTCTTCCTGAAGTCCATGGCCATCAACTTACTTTCCTCTTCAGAAATGTCGGGCTCCCACAGACTAAAGCCCAATCTGCCTGACATGGACCCCAGATCTCGCAGCGTGATTCCCCTCAGCAGTTCTGAACAAACTCTCTTCTTTCCCCAGAATGAATAAGCCCTTGCCATGCCTTCACTCACTTGAACTCCTTCACATAGAGTGTGGGCCCCATTCTCCTTTTTCTGACTGGGTGGTCTCTCTGTCCGTCACCCAACACCTCACCCAATGAAGCAAACTCTAATTCATGGGAAGCATTTGGGTAGTAAAAACAATGTCATATTTACTTCATTTCTTGATTCTGAAGCTTGGACCAATTGTGGTTGGAAATTCTATAGCATGGCCTATTTAATGCAAAAGTTAGGAAGCTTTTGTCATCTGAAAACTTTATAGCTCTTGGTGCTTATATCTAGGATGAGAGACAGGGAAGAGCTCTCAAATTTGTAGTATGAGGAAAAACCAGGGAAATGTGAATACGTCCCCTCAGAGCCCACTGGCAGAGGCCATAGGTACAAGACACCAAGACAGCAGGAGGCCAGGGTTAGTACTCATGGGAGAGAAAAGGCTGAGAAGTTTGTCACATCATCCATCTCCACCCTTCTGCCTGCAGCCCCATGCAGTTTTCTGGCTTCTGTGTTTTAAACCATTTTGATTAGCACTGCAGGGGAAAATCCATTTTTAGGTCCCTTCTAGGGTTTATGACTTGGGTCAAACCCTCCTAAAGAGGTACAGTTTCTTAACACCAACTACTTATACTTGGGATGCAATTCCAGAGCAATAATGGAGCAGTTCCTTGGGCGGAGGGAAAACTTACCAAGCCTCCAGAGGTCCCACAGCAGGTGCCCAGACTGGCGGCCAGGTGACAAATGGGCAAGAGGCCAATGGTTTTCTCTCCTACTTTAATATACTGCCACTCAATTCAGCATGGCTTATTTCTTTGGGTTCCAAATGTGTTTAACTGTGAAAACTTGGTTCAAGCAAAACATACGCAGAACCCCACTCTGCAAATGTGAAGAGGCCCTGGTTAAAGAGGGGGGCGTTGGAATCCTGTCTGTTCCCATCTCCTCTTCCCTAGCCCCTAGAACCTCAAAGAGACCCGCTGAAGCCCACTGAACATAGTTTGAAAATGCCTGGGGTAATTTTGAAAGACGCAGGCTTTGGAGCCAGTTAGAGTAAAATCCTGGCTCCACACTTGAATGACCTTACCTTGATCTTCACTTTCTTTATCTGTACATTGTATAAAATAATACCCACTATAATAATATACACATACCATAATAATAAATTATAAAATATAACTTGTAGGAAGTCATAAATAATGTATGGAAAGTGTCTGGCTCATAGTAGGTGCTCAATAAATAGCTATTTAGTAAATGCCTCAAACAAGCAGGCCCCTTTTCTGGGACTGTGGAGGATTCAGAGATGAGCAAGGGACCTCACAAAGCTGAGGGTCTGGTTCCTACTGTGGGACAGGAAGGAGGAAGTGCTAGAGATGAGGGAACAAAGTGCTACAGGAGGAAATCGAGGGAACGAACATCTCTAATCGGGAGGTGTGGTTGAAACTGTCGGTCGCCTCCCCAGTATCTTTTTTCCACTTCTTCCTTTGTAACGGAATCCCCGATTTCCAGCTGGGATCATGGTTGCTTAGAACGAAACCATATTTCCCAGTTTCCCTTGCAGCTGGTGGCCACATGACTACGTTCTGGCTAATGAGATGTAAGCAGAGTGGAACCCTGTTTCAGAGAGTCAGAGGGGTCGGCACTGCCCCTGTCCCCTTATTCTCCCCACCCTCTTCCTCCACCTTGATGCTAAAATGAGCACAGCTGGCTGGCTTTCTGGTATCTGTGGTTCCATTTAGCATACTGGTTAAAGGAATCTTTGGAGAATTTGAGAGTTAATGTACCTACAAAGGGTAAATACTTTTATTTTTCTTCAATGTAACACAGTGGCTCAACAATGAACTTCAGCTGCTACATCCTGCAGCAGCTGAACTCTGAGGAAGCTGGGTGGCTGTGTGATTTTTGAATATTCCACAGCCCAAAGGGGTCCTGCTAATTATGAACAACTCTGATTTGCTGGGTATAAAAGTTCTCACTAATATTTCTAAGTCGTTTAAGAGACAGTCAGTATTCAGGATACAGTTAGTGATTTGCTTGGAGTGGAAGGTAGCAGGCACTGGTGGGCTCCAGCTCTCTGATTTTACCCAACATCCTGAGAAGAAGTCCTGAATGAGTGGGGCTCTCCCAGGGAGCAACCAGAGCTCTAAGGAGAGGGCTCTCTCCGAGCTGGTTCCAGGGGAGGGTCTGGGCCTCCCCTCAAAGCAGACTCCTTAGACAGCTAATTAGGGTATCATTCCAGGAGAACAAAGGGCTGGGGGGTGGGGATGAAAATGAAAGACAAGAGGGTTGTTGACGCTGGGATGGAAGGACATCCCAGGATTCCTCTAAGAAGAGGCAACAAGGGACTAGGGGAGGGAAGCTACCTTGAGATCCCTTTGAGGGGGTCCAAGATTCCCCTCATCTAGGGGCACCAGATAGACTGGGATGGAGCAGACAATTCTTCAGCTAGTGCTAGAAGTTCTCTTCATCCAAATCATGCCTTCTTCTTACTGCTTGAATCCTACACGTAAGACCTAGGGCCTAATACTCCACCAACTTGAATGGAAGAGAGAGAGTAAATATCTCCTTCTGAAAAAGTGTTAACACTCTTAGGATTATGAGTCAATTCAATCAGGTGATGTCCTATGATCACTGCCCTGAGAAAATGGGAATTGAGTTGAGGAGAAAAGGTTGAGAGGAAGAGACACGTGAAGGGCAGAGGGACACCAAGATGAGGGGTTTGAGAACCAGGGGCAACATGGGGGCACTGGCATCATGATAGGGGCACAGAGATAATGAATGTTTACTGAACTACTCTATACCAGATGTTACACAAACTCTGGGGATAAGCCTAGGAAACAGCTGGGGCTCCCTCATTTACTTTAAGATGTTGATTTGTGCCAGATCTTGTTCTCTTCTCTTGTTCTTAAAAATCAGGTGGAAAAATGTCTCTCCTCTTTGGAGAATGGGCTCTGCCCGCTCAAATCTTCTGCCCGGCTGATGGCTCTATGTGACAATGTTGGGAAGTAGTCTGCAGGATGCCTCTACATTTGCCAAGAGCCCCCAAGGCTGAGGGATTCTGTGCTCTTCCCCTCAGAACTGCCTTTCCCTGTGTTTCCTGCCCATCTTTCTATCCTCAGCCAGGAGAGGCTTGTGGGGGATGGGGGAGGTCCTTCAGGGGAGCACGTGGAGGATGTTGGACCACAAAAAATAGCTCATCACTGTGGCTTCACAGGGCTACTGGTAGAGAGAGCCACAGCTCAGAACAAAGATGTGGCTTGCCAGAGAAGACAGCCAATCCACTGGGAGGCTCCAGAGGGGCAAGATGAAGACTCCCTGACTCCTGGGCCTGGGGACTCTTCTCTTCAGCAGTTTTCAGGTGCAGAGCTGCTGGGCTGTGATCTGTTGAGAGGTGGGCTCAGATGATCTGCGACTGCTAATGTTTACTGAGTTCTTATCATGTCCTAGGTCTTGCATTAAATACACATATGAACTTATTTAATCTTCCCAACAAACCTATGAGGTAGATGCTATTGTTATCATTCCAATTTTACAGGTGAGGAAACTGAGGTACAGAGCAGTTCAGACTTGTAAAAGGTCAGTCAAGAAGTGGTGGGTCCAGGATTCCAGCCCAGAGCATCTGGCTCCACAGTCCATGTGATTATCTACTATGCTCCACAGCCTTTGTTCATTAATGCAATACTGAAGCTTGAAAATGATTTAAAAAAGTACATAATTCACAATGGATACCAAGCTGTCCCTAGAATGAGAGCAATTTCACGCATTGCATTCCGACAAGGTATCTTTAATGGGTGAGACAGAGGTGGTATTAGAACCACCGCTGTGGAAATATTTATTTAACTCTGGTTCTGTCCACGTATTTGTATCCTGCATATGTCACCCACTATGCAAGAGAAGACGCTTTACCGATGTCTGGTTCTTCTTTTTCCTGGCACAGAGTCGATCTACACCTTCCAGAGTCCCTTAGAGTTAAGTGTGGCAAAATGGCCAGCTCTTGCCAATGAAATGTGAGTGGAAGTGATGTGCGTAATTTCTAGGCTCTAGGGAAGAGTGTGTGCCTTCCCTGCTCACTCTTTCCCTTTCTACCCGCTACGTGTTGGGGACACGGAGGCCACAGGGGATAGCAGGGCCACAAAATGGACGAAGCCTAAGTCCCTGAACTGGGATGCATCTACTAACTGAGAGCACCCACCTTGGACTCCCGAACAAAAAATAAACTTCTATTGCATTTGAGCCACTGTACATTTTGGAGTCTACTTACTCCTACAGCCTAGCCTACTCTAATATACCACTTTCTTTACTGTGGTCAAAGGTTGAAGTTAATGGCCTTTAAAAACAACAAAACCGGGCACCTGGGTGGCTCAGTTGGTTAAGCGACTGCCTTCAGCTCAGGTCATGATCCTGGAGTCCCGGGATCGAGTCCCGCATCGGGCTCCCTGCTCAGCGGGGAGTCTGCTTCTCCCTCTGACCCTCCCCCCTCTCGTCTCTCTCTCTCAAATAAATAAATAAAATCTTTAAAACAACAACAACAACAACAACAAAAACCCATGAAAGTGCTTCTGATTTCCCAGTGGTCCCATGTTCAGATAGCACAGTTCCCGCCCACCCCACCCCCTTCCCCCTATATGCAGTGATCCCAGAGCAAGGGCCAGGGAGGTTAAAACATGGGGAAGCCAGAGCATGCATTACATTACCACATCGGTTTCCTTCAAGAGAGGTCCCGTTTCTCTTGGGGCTGGAGCCTGGGGGCCTCAGTCCAGGTGCCAAGGGGCCTCCAGAGGACATGGGGCTGGAGCGGGGACCACTGGCTGTGGTGGCCAGGCCTCCCCCAAGGTGGCCATCTCCAGAGTTCTGCCTCTTGCAGTACAGCGAGGAGGAGGTGGGCAAGGAGCCCCTGTGGCTAAAGGCGGAGGCAGAGGGGTCCACGCTGTAGCGGTTCATGCCTACAGGGTTCACCAGGCACTCCTCAGTGGTGGCTGTTTTTGCTAAGCAAGAAGGCAGGACAGAGAAGAAGAGATCAGAGAGCAAGTCAAGAGGCTACCTGACAGTCTTGGCAAATGTTTCCCCAGCAGCACTGGTGCCACTGTCTGTGGGGATGAGCGATGAGAAGAATGGACCCCACATCATAATCCCAAATAGTTCACCTCTTAACAGACTGAGACACTTGCCTCACCAACAAAGCATATTATAGTAGGCACGGGAGATGAGCCCCTGTGTGTTCGGAGGAAAAAGTGATTATTTTAGTTATTGATGACTTGAAAGTAAAATTCAAAGGTCTTTCTCCTTCCATGCAGTCTCTACCAGCTTGCCTGAATCTCCCTGCTCTCTTTTCTCTTTGCCCACCAACACTGCCCTCCTCAACCGGCCCGGGATGCTTTAGAGAGATCAAGCAGGAGTCACAATGTCCCTGAGTTAAAGAAACAATTTGACCTGGGTGGTGACACAGGGGCAATGGTGCTTCCTCCCCAACACTTTCAGTCCCAAAACACATGAGGGTACTGCCCTTCCCCCAAAGCTAACAAACTGGGGATGCAAATGCTGATCTGGTCAACCCCAGGGTTCTCCCTATCAACTGCAGATGAGAGATAAAGAGCCAATCAAAAGTGCAGGGTGAGTAAAGGACCTAAAGAGTCAGCCAACCTCATTGTCAGCTCCCCTTTGCCCAAGTAAATCATGACTTTCTACATTTTTTAAAGCTCAACCTCAGCCTGTTGAACTCTGTCTGTGAGCTATACTTATGGCCAAAAGGTGTGGGGTGTTTTGTTATATTTTTAAGGACAAAGTTTAGGGGAATTATGGGGATAGAAAGAGGAAAAAAAATATCTTAGGAATTCCTTCTCTTCAGTCCCTCCCATCCCAGACAAGATCGTATGTGCATAGTCCCATCAGTAATCATGTCTATACCACACATGGTCAAAACAGATCTTGACATCCACAAAGAAAATGTGCTAGAGTAACAAAAACCAATGGATCCTCCAAGGTTAGCAATAGGGGGAAACACATCTGAGGCCACAAGATCCAGATGTCTTCTTCATGTATGAATTCTTCCCATAATGTAGATATTGAAAGATTAAGACTTGATTTTTAGGGGAGATATCAATTCTTCTCATAGATGAGGATAAATATGAAACTTGCCTGGAAATAAAAGCCATTGCATATGGCATGTCACTAAAGCAGTGCCTAGAGCAAAATTTATAGCTGTAAATACTTATATTTAAAAAGAAGAAAGATCTCAAATTGATAACCTAATCTTTCATGATAAGATAGTGGGGGGGGGTGCGGAGAGAACAAACTACACCTGAAGCAAGCAGAAGGAAGGAAATAAAGATTGAAGCAGAAATTAAGTAAAGACTAGAAAAACAATGGGGAAAATCAATGCAACCTAAGCTGGCCTTTTGAAAAAAATCAAGAAAATTGACAAACTTTAGCTAGATTGGCCAAGGAAAAAAGAAAAGAGTTAAATTACTAGAATCAGAAATAAAAGAGATGACATTACTACCAATTTTATAGAAACAAAATGGATCATTAAAGGATACTATGGACAATCATATGCCAATAAATTAGGTAACTTAGTAACTGACAAATTACCAAAACTGACTCAAAAAAATACATAGACAATCTGAGTAAACCTATAACAAGTAAAGAGAATGAATTAGTAATCAAAAGCTACTCACAAAGAAATCCCAGGCCCAGAAGTTTTCATGAGTAGATTCTACCAAGCATTTAAAGAAAAATTAAAACCACTTCTTTACAAACAAATTAATACAAGGAAGGGATACTTCCCAACTCATTCTATGAGGCCATTATTACCCTGATACCAAAACCAGACGAAGGCATCTCAAGAACAGAAAACTACAGATTAATATTTCTTATGAATATGGATGCAAATATCCTCAACAAAATGCCAGCAGATCAAATCCAGTAACATATAACATGACTTATACACCATGACCAAGTAGGATTTATCCCAGGAAAGCAAGGTTGGTTTAACAGTCAAAAATCAATTAATGTAATACACCATATAGATAGAATTAAAAAAGAAAAAGATAGTACAATTGTCCCAATAGATTTGACAAAATTCAGTGTCCTTTCCTGATAAAAAACACTCAACACACTAGAAATAGAAGGGAACTTCCTCAACTGGAGAAAGGGCATCTACAAAAAACTTACAGCTAACACCATAGTGAATGGTGAAAGACTGGATGCTTTCCCTCCTAAGATCAAGAAAAAGACATGGATGCTTATTCTTACGACTTCTATTCAACATTTTACTGGAAGTTCCAACCAGGGCAATTAGGTAAGAAAAAGAAAGAAAGGGCATCCAGATAGGACGGAAGAAATAAAACTATCGCTTGTATGTAGAAAATCCTAAAGAATCCATTAAAACATTATTGGAACTAATAAATGAGTTTAGCAAGGTTGCAGGATACAAGATCAATATACAAATACCAACTGTGTTTCAGATTAAATAATCTGAAAATGAAGTTAAGAAAACAATATCATTTATAATAGCATTAAATAGAATAAAATATGGAGGAATGAATTTAGCAAAAGAAGTGTAAAACTGAAAACTATAAAACATTGTTGGAAGAAAGTAAAGAAGATCTAAATAAATGGGGAAAAATCCCATGTTCATGAATCAAAAGACTGAATATTAAGATGGCGATACTCCCTAAATTGACCCACAGAGTCAATGTAATTCTTGTCAGTATCTCAGCTGACTTCTTCATAGAAATTGACAAGCTGATTCTAAAACTCATGATTTTCGAGGGACCAAGATGAACCAAAACAATCATGAGAAAAGAACAACATAGAGCCTTCACACTTCCCAATTCCAAAGTTGACTACAGAGCAACAATAATGAAGACAGTGTGATTGTGGAATAAGAATAGGCATGCAGAGCAATGGAATAGAATCGAGAGTTCAAAAATAAACTGTGTCTATATTCAGCTGATTCTCCACAAGGGTGCCAAAAGTCATTCCATGGGGAAACAAAAATCTTTTCAGCAACCAGTGTTGGAACAACTGGATATCCACATGCAAAACGATGTCATTGGACCCTTAATTCATACCATATACAAAAATTCATTCAATATGGGCCAAAGACCTAAATGTAAGAGCAAAAAGTTACAAAACTCTTAGAAGGAAACATAAGAATAAATCTTCATGACCTTGGATTTGGCAAGATATTCTTACATTTAGCACCAAAAGCATGAGCAACACAAGAAAAAATAGGTAAATTGGACTTTATCAAAATGTAAAACTTCTGTGCTTGGAAAGATAACATCAAAAAAGTGAAAAGATTACCCATGGAATGGGAGAAAATACTTGCAAATCATATATCTCATCAGGGACTTGTTTCCAGAGTAACTCAATAAAAGTCAATAAAAAGAAACCAAATTTAAAGATGGGCAAAGAACCTGATGAGACCTTTCTCCAAAGAAGATATACAAATGGCCAATAAACACACAAAAACATGTTCCCCATCATTAGTCATTGGAGAATGCAAATCAAAACCACAAAGAAGTGTAACTTTCCACTCATTTGGAGGTTTATAATAAAAAGTCAGATAATAACAAATGTCGATGATGCTGTAGAGAGACTGGAACCCTCATACACTGCTGGTGCAAATATAAAATGGTACAGCCTCTTCAGAAAACAGTCTGGCTCTTCCTCAATCAGTTCAAACCAGAGTCACTCTACAACCCAGCAATTCCACTCCTAGGTATCTATCAAGAGAAATGAAGACATATGTCCACACAAAAATTGGTACATGAACATTTACAGAAGCACTATTCAAAATAGCCCAAAGGTGGAAATAAACCAAAAAGGCAATCAACCGACGAACGGATCCACAAAATGAGGCATATCCACACAATGGAATATTATTCAGGCATAAAAAGAAATGAATACTGATACTGCTACAGCGTGGATGAGCCTTGAAATATTCTGCTAAGTCAAAGAAGCCAGTCACAAAAGGCCAGGGATGAAGTAATTCCACTTATATGAAATGTCCGGGACAGGCAACTCTATAGAGACAAGAAGTCGATTAGCGGTTGCTGAGGGCAGGGGGGCAGGGGGGAGAGAGGGTGCTGGCTAAAGGGTATGTGCTTTTTGAGGTATTGAAAGTGTTCTACCATTGTGGTTGCACATTTCTGTGAATATACTAAAAACCACTGTGTTGCACTCTGGTATGATAATCTCAATAAAGTTGTTTAAACAATTCACTGCAGAAGCCTGGTGCTGGGTCTGAACACATTCTCAGGAGTGTTGTTATACAGGCAAGTCCGGCCAACACCGCTTTGGCCACCATGACACAAGTAAGCTGAGCAGCCTCAGTGTACGTACGCATGCTCTGTGCTTTCTGCTTCGTGGCCCAGGGATGCTGTAAGTGGTCTTCAGGAACCTGGAACTCCACACCTGCTCCTTGATGCCCTCTATTGCATCTCTTCCATCCGGATTGGAAGACGGCAGTACAAAGATTCTAAAAAGGCCCAGGCTACAGAGCTATGTACGAGGCTGCCTCCTGAACGGAGTAAGGAAGAGGCAGACAAACACTGAGCACCTACTATGGGTTAGCACCATTCCAAGCCAGTTAGCAGTAAGGCTGTCTTCATATCCCCTTTACTGGAATGTTCTCAGTATCGGAGATACTAATCCCTTCTGTGTCCCTAGTGGCAGGTGCCTTGGTGTATGTGAGGAAGCTACTCACAGTGTCTGGCATACAGAAGGCACTCAATAAATAGCTATTGAGTAGACATTTGGGCCACTGTTAGCAGTGAGGCGGCCATTACACAGAATATGCATTACAATACAGATTAGAAAGGATTATCGTGAATACATGATAAACAATGATAAAAAAGATTTAACTAAAACATTTATTCTGTTTATTAAATATTTTAAATCGAGATTAAATATGTCTATGTGGTTCTGATAGTGGTAAGGTAGAGAATGCAGACAATTCTCTAACCTGTAATATAGCTGG